CAGATGTATCAAAAATATTTGTAATTTTAGAAATACGATTGAAAAAATCACAAATTGGCTGTGTCGCACAGTGGAAATCGATGTCTTTGAAAACAGTTTATATTTCGAAACAATTAGAAACAACAAACAGTTCAATAATTTGAAGCTTTCGTATACTAACAAATTTAGTAAGCTTTTACAAAATAAATTAGAAAGTAACAAAATAATTTTAGATAAAAATATTATTGATAAGTGGTTAAAAAATTATTCTTCTATCGACATACCAGACAGACTATTGTACATGTTTGCTTTAGGACCTAATTTTTCAGTTCCTGCTACTTGCCGTAATTTTAACTTTGTTAAATTGCTCAGTAATTTAGAATATGGTTTGCAACAAATTAAAGATCCGAAAACTAAAATTCACACTAGAAATCTTTTTTGTAAAAAATTCATCTCACATATTAATTCCTTTGATACCAAAAATACAACTTATGATAATATTCTTAGAGACCTTCAAGCTTGCAAAATATTTCTCAAAAATCATCCGAATATAGTGGTCACTAAAGCGGATAAAGGCAATATCACCGTTATCATAGACAAGCAAGACTATATAAATAAAATATCTGAATTATTACTTGACACTAATACTTACAAAATTACCAATAACGATCCAACTGACTACATAAACCGTACGTGCCATAAATATTTAGACAAACTTACAGCAAACAAACAACTGACCAAAGAGATAACTTCTGACTTGAAAAATTTACACCCATATTTCTCCAGACTTTATGGCCTTCCCAAAATCCACAAAAATAATTTACCTTTTAGACCAATAGTTTCAGACATTAATACCCCTCAATATAAACTCTCGAAATACATAACTACAATAACAAAACAATCACCACACTACATAAAAAATTCTTATGAACTCGTTACTGACTTAAAACACAAGATAAATTATATACAAACTAATTAGCTTAGATGTAGTCTCACTTTTCACTAATGTACCCCTAGACCGGCCATGTCCAACATGCGGCCCGCGGGCAGCATGCGGCCCGATGGCGATTTTTGTGTGGCCCCATGACAAACAACAATCGCACAAATTATTATTTTCAATTTAAATAAATAAAATAATTTTTGTAAAGGCTAATATAAAAGTCTGAGCACTAAGTCAGCTTCAACCGAAAGCAATGGTCATTAATCAAATGAATAGATGGCGATATGATACTCTATGGATAGCGCTTGACAGATAACGACAAATAATTGTCAACGCAACGGACAACGGGAGCCTAGCGGCTCTATGGACAAGTGGGCAACACTAGTTCACGAGTCATTCACCAGTCTATAAGTCCATATGATTGTAATCGTGGGGAGTTATCTTGGAAAAAATGTTCATATTACGATTATTTTGAAAAAAAAAAAGAATTTTCAAACAGTTTTAAAAAACAAAAAAAAAACATTTTTTTTCAAAAAAGTCCACTTTTTTCAATTTCAATTTCAAGATTCTCAAAAATCTAATTTTATCAAAGTTTTCAGAAATATTAAAGCTTTTAAAAGTTTGGAATTACGGTACGAGAAGTTCCATCAAATTGCCACAAGGCGCGATGCCATGCACCACTAGTTTTTCCAGATTTGTTGCGGCCCAGTGCTTTGTATATTCCTAAATTTTGGCCCAATGAGTGATTTAGGTTGGACATCGCTGCCCTAGACCATATTTTAGATGCTATAACAATCCGATGGGATGAAATTTCCTCGTTGACTTCTTTATCTTTGCACTGGTTCAGGGAAACTGTCAAGTTCATTGTCTCTAACACTTATTTTGAATTCAATGGCTCTTTCTATTATCAAATTTTTGGGGCGCCAATGGGGTCCCCAGCAAGTCCATCTCTAGCAGAAATATCTTTACAACTTCTTGAAAATATAATTTTTAAAAATTACAATAAACATATTTTTCATTACCGTTATGTAGATGACATTATCACTTGTATCCCTAGTGATGATGTCACTATGATAATTGATTAATTTAATAACGTCAATAAAAAATTAAAATTTACAGTAGAATTGGAGACAATGAACTCGATAAGTTTCTTAGACATAAAACTTATACGTACTACGGAAAACAAACTAATAACAAATTGGTACCAAAAACCAACTAACTCTGGACGTTACCTTAATTACTTTTCTTATCATCCACTCAAAATGAAAATAGGTACTATAATAAATCTAACTGACCACGCAATACTTCTATCGGACAAAACATTTTGGGACAATAACATCAATTTAATTACAAAAATTCTAACAGATAACTCCTATCCCCTAAAACTTATAAATTCCGTAACTAGTAACAGACGAACGTACCTTTTGAATAAAATGGACAATTCCACAGTACATAACAATTTACCTGACTCAGAAACTCATTCTGGTGTAATATGTTTGCCATACATTAAAGAATTGTATGTTCCTTGGAAAAAAACTTTTTTATAAATCTGGACTCCGACTGGTAACCAATTTTAGTACAACTACTAGCACTATTTTTACCAAAACAAAAACCCCTTTTAATATCGAACGACTCAGAAATCTCGTCTATCAAATAAATTGTTTAGATTCTAATTTAATTTACATAGGTGAAACTAGCCAGAACTTGAATAAACGGTTACAACAACATAAAAACAATTCAAAAAACCCAAAACAATTCAAAACTGTACTTGCAGACCATATTTATACCTTAAAACACAATATGGACTTTTCTAACCGACTGTACTACAATTCGAATAAAATTTATTTAAACGAAGAATTATAGAGTGATCTTTCTTAACTATTTATAACAATAAGACAATAAATAAACGGAATGAACTTAACACGCTGTGCGACACAAATCTCTTCTATTTAGATAACATTTCCAAATTTCTTACAAAACAATAAAAGCGTTGCGCAAAGGATTCGCAATTCGTTCTACACATGTGTAGAATCTTGGTAAAAATATTTTTTAAAAAGGTCTTTTTCCATTACATCTTTAACCAGTCTACGAATAACACACTATCCATTTGTGATTTTTTAAAATTAGTATTTTGTGAAAATATTGTGTAATTTCAAGTTAGTGTTTATAATACATAGTGTAGTGCATTACCATATCCTGATACCATGGATTATTAAAATTTTCCAATTTAACACTAAGATCAACTAATTGTAAGTACTATTTACTATTTTATTTTTTCTTTTCTCTTCAATTCAATTGTTTTAGTTTTTAATTTTATTTTTAGTTTCCACTGAATGAAGGCTAGGATTTAAAATGTGTGTTAAAATGAAACGTATGGATTTAAAATAAATTTTTGAAAAAAATTCATGTTTTTAATTGATGTTACGCCCGATTATTAGACTTTGTTAATACATATGTCAACATCGAATTCAGAATCATACAATATATATGTATATATATATATATATATATATATATATTTAGCCCATCTCGGGTACTGCGGTGTGAAATGGAAATGGGAAAAACTCTCACACTACTTCTTCCGAGCAATAATCGAGTTGGAGTTTAACTCAGCTCACGGACCTGCCCTAGGGCAGTACTACCCATTCTTTATATCTATATATATATATATATATATATATATATATATATCTTGATAGTTTTTTCGACGTTGAAACATATTTCAAAGTAACTAGCAGCCCATTCGTCGAAATAAAAAAGGTATAAAGTATAAAAACTTTTATTTATACGTTTCGACACAAGATGCGTGTCATCATTCAGCAACTACAACAATTTGAAAATTTTATTAACTAATATAAACAACAATAAAAATTAATTATAGCATAGAGAAACATTATACACACCACAGGACAAAAACACTCAACAAAAATTTATTTTAAAAAATTAAACTTAATAACATATTAGAGAAAAAAACAAATTGTTGTTTTTTTTTTTTTTTTTTTTTTCTCTAATATGTTATTAAGTTTAATTTTTTAAAATAAATTTTTGTTGAGTGTTTTTGTCCTGTGGTGTGTATAATGTTTCTCTATGCTATAATTAATTTTTATTGTTGTTTATATTAGTTAATAAAATTTTCAAATTGTTGTAGTTGCTGAATGATGACACGCATCTTGTGTCGAAACGTATAAATAAAAGTTTTTATACTTTATACCTTTTTTATTTCGACGAATGGGCTGCTAGTTACTTTGAAATATATATATATATATATATATATACACCTAAGTCTGTTTTTACACGGTCTTTTTGTACACGGTTTTGATATAACACGGTTTGAAAATTGAATATTTTTAATTTTTTTACACGAATTTATTCCATTTAGCACGATTTGAAATTTTATGTACCTAAATTTTTTTTGTCAAATTAAATTTTTGCGAAGTATGTTCATATCACAAAAAAGTATTTATGAAAGAAAAAAGTCTGAAACCATCGATAGTATCGATAGTTTGCGAACACTAGCTTAAAGATTTAAGTGAATTCCCCTTTAGCGCGTACAAACAATTTTTACTGGTCAAAGCAAATGTGAATAGCACTAATTTAATTCTTGTTCTTAAAAATTCTTGTTTTTCACCAATTTTAATAGGTTTTAGAGATTAGGAACAAATCACCCATTTTTGTATAAGATCAATGTCTTTTTTTACACGTTTTTTTTTTTACACGGATTCTTCTGGAACCAATCTCCGTGTAAAAACAGACTTAGGTGTATATATATATATATATATAATATACATTTACATATACATATACGTTCATATTTTCGTAAAGCATAATATGTACATTTTAGCGATTATGGATAAATTTTTAATTTGACTTATTTTTATATTCAATTCAATTCTGAGAAAAATTAAAAATGTTGATTCCGCACTTTAATTTTATTTGTTTATTAAATTTTATTTGATACTCTGTGGCATTATTGCAAACTGATACATACTAAGAATATTATATCAGTAAACGACATTTCAATTATAAAATCGATATATCGTTAATATTTAACTTTTGTCAACTTGTTTGTTTTCTATTTCAGTTCCAACGCAGAAAATTCACAAATGCGCTGCATATTGCAAAGGTAAGAAAAAATTTCCATTTTATAATCTTTATAAAATATAATCTTTGAATTTATTTATTATAATTATTTACGGCTATAAGTGATTTACACACACCAATTTATTTATATATAGGGTAGGGGTTTAAAGATCCGCGAATAAAAAGGTTCACCACCGATATCTCAAAGACAAGTTAGAAAAAAATTCTAACAATATTTGATAGTAGGTAAAAATATGTATAACAAGCCATCACTTTGGAAGGCGTTTGAGTATCATATAGTCAAAGATTTGAAATATTTGTTTATTAAAATTGGTGAATAACTTACGAGTATTGATATAATTTTGTACACATGTAAAAATATATAACTAGTGATGCTTCAAATTCAAACTCAAATTCGAAATTATTCGAATTCAAATTTTTAAATTTTTTCATCATTTTAAAAATAAATCAAAATTTTGAAAAATTAAAAAAAATATTAAAATTAAAAAAATGGATTTCTTACAAAAATTTGAGAATATTTCGAAACTTTCAAAAAAATCGAGTATTTTCAAAAATTTCCGAATTCTCAAAAAACTTAAAAAAATATATTTTTCCAATAATTCCAAAAAATTTCGAAATTTAAATTTTCTTCAAAATAATGAAAAAAACTTAAAATCATCAAAAAAATCAAATTTAAAAAATATTCAAACTCTTGTAAACTTACACATAAGTTGATTATAAAATACGCTCGTCGTCCGATTTAATAAGCTCTTATAAATTTACAGTATGTATTTATAATAAATAATCTATTTGAAATTATTAAAAACAATTATTGATTATTTTCATGCCTCGAATGTTTAATTACGGTACGAGAAGTTCCAGAAATTTGCTTTAAGTTTTACTTGATTCGATAGAGAAATAGTTACTGCAACCAGCCATCTCTTTATTTTGTGAAAAAATAATCAGTGGATTTTAAGATATATTAATTTAAAAATAAAAACTGTTACATCAAGCATCTAGCTGCTCTACCTATATTTACAGAGATACTCGATTTTTTTGTAAAATAATATTACTGAGTGTTTAAATTAAATTTTCAGAAAATGAGAGGACTAACATTTACAGTCCGGGGTCGAGCTACGTGTACAGCTACACGGCGGAGTCGGACACATTCATAAACGGAATCGAAGGGAACAACGAAATCAGCCGGCTCCGCATCACGGCCGTAGCTACCATACATGTCGCGGCACCATGCGAATACATTCTGCAGGTAAATTTACTCTACGACTCAAAATACAACTAAATTTATTTAGTTTATTATATGCATTCTAGATTCAAAATACGTTCAAACAATTCATTAATGGCTTATAAAATATAGCAGAGCGGAGCTTAAAAGTCTGCCGGTGAAAAGGTCCTCCAATCACCATTATCTCAACAAACAAGTGAAGTATAGAGTTTTTCAACTTTACTATGTTAAAGTAGGTGACACAAGATGTGTATCCATTCATTGCCCTAAATCCAAACGATGCCGCTATCACGAGCGAAACGTCTACTAAACGATACTTGTATATGATTTTAAAGTATACGGTATTTAATTGTTTAATAATATGTATTGTTATTTTTATGTTAGATTCAACAGTTTTCTTTATAAAAGCTAACTTGTAGTTATGGTGAAAAGGAGCAACTGAGAGTTTACACTGACAAAGGTGTAAACAAAATGTAAAAAGTAAATTAAGTTAAAAAGGCAGTTTCACAGAGATAAATTATATTACTTCTTTTTCCAACTCTGATAATGAATTCTTCTGACAAATTTCCAAATAGAAGTGGACACTGGAGTGTTCAGTGCAATTTTTATAGAAAATGTGCTAATAAAACATGTATTTCAAACAGCAGGAATTTTACGAAATAATGGCTTGATTTTTTAGCAAATGCAAAATAAAATTTCATGAGCATATTTTTTACAAAAATTACACCGCATATAACTTTGATTTGGTATTTCATCAGAAGTATTTATCACCAAAAGTGGAAAAACTATTTATTCAATTTATTTCTTACAAAATCGCTTTTTTAACTTAATTTACTGTTTTATTTACTATTTTCATATTGCTTACACCTTTTCCAGGGTGAAGTTTCAGTTGGTCATTTTTATCCCTCCCATATGTAAACTTTTATAGAGGTTATATAAAAAAAACTGATGTATCTAACTTAAAAATAACATCTTATAAAACAATTAAATAACGTATACCTAAAAGTTATATTAAGGTCTCGTAAACTAAACAAGAGTGCGCAAAACCAAAAATACTAACAACGAGAGAAAATTCTTTTGTTATAGATTTTCAAACGTTGATAGCAACGTCGTAATAATCAAGGTGATGGCTGGTTATACATCTTTTTCCTCAACTTTCTATTATGCCTTCCTAACTTTAGTTGATTTTGAGACATTGGTGGTAGACCTTTTTACCAGCAGACCCGCTCTACTCTATATTAAGGTTTGTGTGTAAAAAATTCTAATTAATTACGTAGTAGTTTTTAAAAAGTGCCACTTTAAATAAGGTAAGAAATAAGCAACATTTTCGACTTAATTTACTCTTTTGCCATAGAAAAGGTAAAAATGATGTTTAAGCCAAAATGAGATTGACCGATGTGTATGGTAAACACGTGTTGATAGAACAGGTTTGTTAAATTTTGTTCCGAGTGTATTGATATCGAGAATGCACTAATGCAAACTGGCAAATAACAACATGTGATGTTGCACTGAGTTTAGAGATTCATCAAATTCAATAGTTAATGGCCAATTTAAAGGTCTGGAAATTTCCTCGAAGTTCAAAGCATGAGTTTCCCAGGTTCTCATAGAAAGAAACGTGTATCTCTGCATTGATGTCTGGGATTCGCCTCTGAAACGTCATGAAAATGATCAGTTTTTAAAGCAAGTTTTTACCCTATTGCACAATACATTATGTGCAATTCTATTATGAAACAATGAAGAAGACTCAAAACAGTTGCA